CACACACACACACACACACACACACACACACACACACACACACACACACACACACACACGTAATTATCTGCAGATGAACCGATGGGAAAAGGTGTGAAAGTGAGAAGAACCATCAGTATCATTTAAAAGGTGATTTAAAGCAGTTCATTAGATCCGACATCTCAGCAATCCTTCAGACACAGTGACAAGCTCATCCTCTGCTGTAACCCATGAATAATTCACTCTTTCATTTTGAGTTTGCCATGTTTTTTCATCAATAATGCACCCATATTACCCGTGTCTTATTTATGTCGTGCCGCTCTGTTTTTCTCTAGATTGGACTACACATAAAGATTAATAACTGGAGAGCTGATTTACACACAACTGCACCAAGAGATAAGTACGCTTTAATTTCTCACTCACTTCATCAATAAATGCGATTGTCAGTTCATTATTTTATTCCTTCCACTTTGTTGAACTTACTGGGGGGGGAAATATTCATGAGTCTGTATAAAAAGAGGTAAATGGGCCAGTAGAGTCATTCATCTAAATATAAATGAAATTTAAATTTTCTTTTTAATCATAATCCTAACAAAGTACTTCTAAGTGCTCTAAATTCAATAATTATGGGATTACATGAAGTCTTAACTAGTGTCTCAATATACTGACTTCGAGTTCACAGGGAGATTATAAGCCACATGTATCATTTTATTAAACTTGGTCATTAATTATTAAAAACAAAACAGAGATTAGGGGCCTCGATGTGCAGATCAGTAAAAACAGGAAGTCAAAACCAGATGACCCACCATGTGGAGTGAAAGCATCTTACCTGGCAAAGAAGGAGGCAGCGGCAGAGGTGGCAGTAGGCGCTGCGGTGGGGACAGCTGGTGTGTTGCAGGGAGAACTGGTGTGTGATGGTGAGTTAGTGTGAGCAGGAGAGTGCGAGTTGCAGCGGTTCAACGCCGCTTCGTTTCCTCCTTCTCGTGACGCCTCAGAGATCATCTGGGAGATCTGAGAAGAGACGAGAGACAGTTTACTACAGTTTACCACAAAACAAACACAAACCTGAATAGTAATTAATACACAGCTTAAATACTCTGGGTGGTATATATATTTATTTCACGGCTCATAAATAGTGAAAATTATTTCTTTCAACTGTTTGACAGGAAAACTGAAGCTTGTTTTGTACACAAAGCACAAACTAAAGAAAACTAAAGTTAACTTTTATGATCTTTTCTTCTTTGTGTGTTTTGTGAACAGATTCTGTAAAATGTAACAACTCATGAAAGGTTCAGAGACAAAAAATATCTATAAAGGTAAGAAAGTAGATATACAAAACAAACCTGGGATAGATGACAAAATCACCTTCCTTTCTCTCTACACCTTCATCTCTCATCTTGTTCTATCCAACTACATTTATGGCGTTGTTCATAAATATATTTTACACACAGGGATGATCTTTTCCAGATAATCAGATACTGTAAGCAAAGCCAGATTGTTAAAAGGGATTATTCATCGCATGCCATTTTTATGTTTTCAATCAATTTTAATTTATTTGCCTGACAACAAATTCTCCCTTTTGTCGTAATTGCTTCTGGGGAAGAATTTGAACCTGTCTATAAAGCATAATTACTAAAAATAAACAAATACAGCTAACTGTGTACTCCAGTGATCAGACAAATGTTCGGTTCCAGAGCTATAGAAATTAAAAATCTCTTTGCGGATTCACTTCACTGATCATGATTTTTATTTTTTTATTTTTGCATAACTTTTTATCATCCCCTTCTTTCAGTCAACTCTACGTTCATATTTTGCTATGGTTTGTTTGAAAAAAAAAGGCCACAACTCTATAAGTTTGGCAGATATTGAACTGGGTCTTTAGGTTTCCATGTGGTCAGGTTTATCATTCAATAAAAAGCACATGGGATGACTGCAGATCAGCTTTTGAGAACTGAATGCACCAAGTGTAATAACACCATGAGGGCAAACAGTGACATAATTTGCATTATTAAATACATCAGTAAAATCATAAAACACTCTAAGGTCAATGGCATGTGATCACCTAGTATCTGTGTGCACATCTCATTTGTAGAACTGCTCTGTCAGTCTTCAGGTAAAGGGTGGTTTAAAGTGAGAGATAAGCAGCTCAGTCCTCAGTAAGAAGCTCATATATCCTACCATTTTACAAAGGTTTGTTTCATATATACCCATTGGGATCAATAAAGTATTATCAATCAATAATCAATCAATCAATGTATAATAGTGTTATAAAGCATCGGATGATATCGTCAACGTGACTTAAATGTCGTAACAAATGTTTGGAGAATTTTCAAAAGAAATTCATCAGAGTAGAAATATATAAATATTTGCAGATGTGAGAACAGCAGAAAAAAATTGTTAGATAAAAATATGCCAGTGTCAAAGTATACAAAGTGGATTATTCAACATGACCGTACAACATGCAGCACTCAGTAAACAGATGAAACCTAGTACACTTTAGGCTCTATTATAGATGGTGTTTAATGTATGTAAACATTAGAATGTGCATGTGCTGTTTATAACATAGAAAAAAATACATTTATTAACTATACAATAGCTCAAATATCCTGTTTTTAAAAACTGCATTTGGCCATTATGCATTCAAGAAGCACTCCTGAGTCCATGCAGTCCACAGCTAAATAAGCAGCACCTTTTATTCGACACAAACACCTAATCAATGAGACGGGGGATTTCATGGATTTAAAGTGTGTTGCCTGAAGAAACTTCAACATGTGGAGCAGGAAAGCCAGGATCAACCTGCAGATCTAATTGGTTGACAACTGCTCTTCCTCCTAAGCCACACAGCTGCCCACACACCAACAGAAAAACCACGAGAGGCAGCAAAATATGTTGCACTAAAGTAATATAATTCTGAACCAAATTTAGGGAAGTTTTTTCTTTAAATAGCAGCTGTACGTAAAAGTACAAAATGAAAACAATTATGATATATTTTTAGACCAGGTTAAAAGCTTTTAGCTGAGTTTAAACCTATCTTGTCCTGTTTATTTAGGTTAGTTCTGCCACTGCAGCTTCCTCACATTTGTTTCATCTTAAAGAGTCCTTGCTGTTTTACCTTCCTGTTTTCATCCCTGCGACAACTCTCTTACATGATTTTTTTCACAATAATGTCAACAAAAGTAACCAGATATGGGAATAAACTGGCTGCTGGCACTTCAGTGAGTCTTCTGTGTAGCCAAAGCTTAAAGCTGCCAGCTTGGAACAACTGAGACGCAGTGGGTTGAAATCCCATCCTGGCACAGCTACCAACTCCGACGCCGGTACCACAGGAAACTTGGCAGGCAAGTAGATGATTGAGTCAGGTTGTACATAAATAACAAAACTCTAAAGTTCTCTGTTCTAAAACTCTGGACTCAGGTGAGATTAATTCGCTGTCTAGACAAAACTAAAAAAGATAGAAAACATATCAGAGGCTGACCAGCTGCACCTGGTTCACTATACTGATAATCTTTTATTTATCAACCTACAGTATATAACTTCCTGTAGGACTTTTTTATGCTTAAATAAATATTTTAAATGTATATTTTCCAGAAGTTCACTGGTCCTTCATTTTATATTTTCAGTGTTCCTTTAATAACACACAGACAACAAGAAAAAACTGAATTGTCTGCAAATAGACAAAGGAGTGCGAATACAAACTAAAGAGGTATCTTATTTACAAGAGACAATTTATCAAAGCAATGACTCATCTGCTTTGACCCTGGGAGCCCTCAGCGGTAAATAAACACACTGTAAAGCTGCGCACACACACACACACATGCACATGCACACACACACACATACCTAAAGGTGGAGAGAGGTGCAGACACTCAAGGACGCACACAAAGATAGACAACAGGCATACTTAACCTGACACAAATACTACAGAGCCTTTATGGGAGCGAGTGGGTTTGATTTAGCAGCCCATAAAAAACTATAATCAATAATCCATACCTGTGACATAAATGATTCACACATAAACACATGAACACATGAATCAAGCAGCTCACACACTGTCATTTAAAAATTTAACACAGTGAGACCTGAACAAATGTCAGTTTATTTATTTACTGAATATTAAGACTTGCAAAGTCCAGTCTCAGTTGTATGGCATGTCTTACCTTGCTGTTTTTCAAATCTTGTGTATGTCCAATTGTTGAATCTGGTGCAAAGCAGATGTTTTATTTAACAATCAACATCTAAACTGCACTGCCACTGACTACATTTAAGGTTAAGAGATGTGGTGGAGGTCTGTTTGGTGTGAATCTGTTTTTCCCAGACCACAGAGAAAAACTGTAATAAATATGAAATATGGAGGCTGTCGCTCCTTAAGACTGCTGACACAGCAAGATATTAATTTCAGCTGTGGAGGCAGACAGGTGGCTTCCCCTGTTGGTCTACCTCCGTGTTTTCTTCTTTCCAGGTCTTTTCTGCAACACCTGACTGGTGAATTAAAACTAGTAACTAATAGTTAATTGTCATTAGCAAGATTCGCTCATATTTATTATATCCTATAGCTTGTTGCAGCATTTCTTCTTATATCTCCCGCTGTCAGTCCAAATGTTTCTGATTCAGTCTTTGCTGTAAACTGTGAACCTGTTAGAGGAGTGTTTTCAGTTGGTTTACCTTCATGGTCTGCATTAAAAGCTCCTCATACAGAAACAATAAGCTGTTGCTTTCTTCGTGCTGTAGGCAAAAAAAAAGCTGATTTTCAAATTAAAGTCTGTTTCTGAAATAAAGCTTCTTTGAAAAGTTTATTTCAGGTCTTCATCTTTTTTTATTTATTTATTTTTTGCACATAAATCTTTTCCCCTGCTCATCTTTCCTTACAATTACCCTTTTTGCCCATCTTCCAGTCTAACAGGAAGATTTATTGCTGCGTTCTTCTTTTCTCGCTGAGACAACATTACTGTCAAAGTCACAATGGAGACATACAGGCTCATTTTCAGATTCCCATTACAGGTACCAACAAATAAGATCCTATAAGGACGTCATGTGGTGAGGCACACAAACATACACAAACATACACAAAACATTCAAACGGGCTAAGTCTGACAGGGATGTGATGGGCACAATAAATAAAGACTAAAACACATAAATGATTTCTTTTATCAAAATGTATCTAAATGGAAATGCCAAAACACTTTACAGCCAACTAACAAAAAACCCTGTTTTTATGTATATAAAAAAACAGTGTTCATGACAGTGGTGCAGACTGAAATTTAAAAAAACAGATTAAACATAAATATAGAGTACAAAACAATCCATAAAAGTAATTTAAAAAGGTTGAGAGAGGGCAATTTCAGTGACTGTTCAAAGAATTTACTAACTATAATTATGTTTTTGTGTGTGTGTGTGTGTGTGTGTGTGTGTGTGTGTGTGTGTGTGTGTGTGTGTGTGTGTGTGTGTGTGTGTGTGTGTGTGTGTGTGTGTGTGTGTGCGCGCGCGCGTGTGCGTGGGGTAAAATAACCAGGAGGAATCCTACATTGGAAGGAGAAAATGAACAAGTATAGAATGTGTAAAAGAGAGTGAAGGAGTTCTGGGGCTGTGTGACACTGAGTCCCCAGAGTTCTAATTATCACTGTATGAATTATTACATCTCTAGAAGACTTTCATGCACACTCACACATTTCAGGATCTCCCCCAGAGTCTTAGACCTCCCGTCTACCACTCTAGACCACTCTTCACCTCAGGCAATTTCTCCCTACAATCCTTCTCTCCTTTTTTTTACTCCTGCTCCTTCTTTCCAGCACCATCCAAATCATTGTATTTCTTAATTTTCCATTATAATTACACACTACACGCAAATGTGACACAATACTTTCAAGCCTAGATTTAAATGGTGATATTTTGATTCAAATCTGTCAAGAGGTAATGATTACATAAATAAGAGCACCACGAGCCAGAGCAATATACTGTAAGACCAAAGAGATAAAAATATGTTTGCCTTACTTACATTGAAAAAATAGTTTTTAATTAAAGGTTTTTTATGTTATAAATAAATCAAACATCAAAAAACTTTATTAAAAATTGTAATACATACTATGTAGTAAGCGGACAGAAATTCTCTTCCTATAAAGTAAAGCAAAGAGCCATAACTCTGGTGAGAATAGAAGCAGCACAAAAGGCCAACAGCCTCTCATCATAATTATTTCCACCAGGTTTCATTTAATTCTTTAAAAAAGTAAAACTGGAGTTGAACTGACAACAAAACTGTTTACAGACAGACAACCACAAAGTAATATGACCCTTCTGGAATATAAAAGTGAGGTATTTTTGGTTGCAAATCTAACCCCAAAGCTCATACAGTGTCTATAAAAAGAATCAATTTTCACTGATATTTTATGCTTTTATTGCAGCCATAAATCAAATCATCTTTAGTAAAAAACTGGTCTTCATTACAAAAATGTTTACACACAAGAATATATATATATACAGAAAACAAAACTACCTCAG